TCTCAAGCTGGCAGTCCTGTTGTGATTACATTTCTTTGCTGTAATTATTATAAAGATCTCCCAATTTTGTTAACTTCTTTCTCATAAGCTGTTGGCTCTCTAATGCCCCATTCAAATCCTTCACCTCAAGGAAAGAGGAAGAACAGATAGGAGTGTTCATTACTGGTGGGAAATGTAAAGGGAAAATGAGAAGAGGAAAGATACAAGTCTGAACCGGCTCTAAGACCTGCCTCTAGAAGCCCAGCTTTGTTCAAATACAAAGGCACTTCCAGGCATGCTCAGCTGGCACTGCCAAGATCAAGAGTGTTTAATACCAATAATATCCAATTTGGGGAGGCAGTTTAGCAGAGTGAGTAAGGGTGTGAACTCTGGAATTCTTGTGAACTTGGGAACTCTGGAATTCAGGGTGAGCTTGCTGAACTTCAAACTCTGGCTTCAAACTCTGAGTCAGATTTGCTGCATCTGACTCAGTTTCTTCATTGGTAAAATGGTTATAATAGCAATACTTCCCCTACAGTGTTCTCATGAGGCTCCAGGGAGATAATACACATATGACACAATTTCAGGCACATAATGCGCCATTAATAAAGGTTAGGTATTTTTATTACCCACTGAGTTCCTTCTCAGTGTCAAGTGCTTTCCCTGAATCATTTTCTTTGACTAATACAACTCTCCAAAATAGCTATGATTATCCTCATGTTATAGAAGAGGCTCAGGGGAAATTAAATAACTTTTCTACACACCTTGTTAGTGGCCAGCCAGGCCTTCTGAGAACACATCATCCCCAATGTAAAGTTAGATCAATCTAGGTCAATCTGCTACCACAGTTTTATAATAGTCTCATCTGAAACTTCATCTGAACTTTTAGTACCAGAAAAAACCCAGGATGGGTCCCTCTTCTTGAAGTGAAAACACAGTTCCCCAATACTAAAGGTGACAACTCTATGTCAGGCGCTGTGCCTTTGCCCATTATGTAGATGAAAAACACTGAGGAACAAAGGAATTACATGACCTCATCCACATTGCCAAGTCCCACTCACACCACTCTTTCTAATTGTGCACCTCATGCTCTCCCCCAGGATATTGCTGTCCCTGTTTTCTCTCGGAGAATATTGATAAGTACCCTCTGAAATTCCCAGGTGCTCCCCGCAAAGATCCTACTGAATCCTGGCCAACGTGGGCCACAAAGAAAAAAGGGGAGTATACTCTTCTCTGCTCCCCAAGGTGCAGGGAAAGTTGGTTTCAAATGTCCAGTGAGGAATATTTTTACCGTCTTCCTGCCAAGAGATGTTATCAGTGAAAGTATTCAGTGTCTAGGAAAAATCACAGCCTATGAATAGTTTAACTTACAGGCTTTTTAGAGAGATAAAGACTGGTTATCATCTATACAGCTAAGCTCATTTCTGTTGCAAAGATGTAGCCACTAGCTTTTCCTACATATTTGAAAAGAAAAAATCTTTGAGAATACGCACTTGGGCTTTTTTCATGTCCTGCTGAAAACAACTGCAAATGTTACCTTTGTGGTATAAGCGTGCAGAGGACCACTGGGACCCAAGGGTATCTGAGGCAAGGTGGATGCACCTTTCCATGAGGACAATGCAGAAACTCATAAACACTCAGAACCTGTGTGCCCATGACTGACACAGGATGCAGCTCCTTCAGACCCAACAAGCATCCCCCACAGTGCTACTTTTAAATTGAGCATTGCCCTGAGTATTTGATAACCACTGCCTTTGGTCCCATATGCTTGTGGAATCTCTATTTTGAGAGAGGAGGGAGATGCACAGTTAAGGAGTGGAGGACAAAACAGACCTTAGCACAACTTAGACAGACATTTGGGTCCTTAGCACAGCCAATATCAATCATGGCCAACAAACGGGGATTTGTCACATTTAACACTGCTTACTGAGACAGGCCAAGCAAACAGCTTGATTGGGTTTTCAGGAACTGCTATAAAGGACACACAGGCAAAACCAACGGGGAGGGTGGAAGCAAGGGAGAGGGGTGGGTTTGGAGGGGGTGGGGAGGAGGGGTAAGGATAAAATACAGACAACTATAATTGAACAACAATAAAATAATTTTTTTAAAAAGGAGTATGCATTTAGTCCTGGTGCTGGGTTAGAAAGAAAATGACATACCAGATGAAAATAACACTGTAAGTTGCTATAGCAACTTTCATCTTAAACACTGAAAGAAGAAATCTTTTGAGTAGCTTACTAGATTCCATAAGAGACTCCTCTACTATTTGAAATGCTGACAAAGAAAGGGGTCAAAGGATGTAGGATGGACACTGTGGTCTGGAACAAAGACGGTACAGTTTTCCGGAACTGCCTTTATCTTTCCGGAGCCCAGTCTTCGTGGCCAAACTATTGGGTGGACTGGGCAAGCAAAGCTCATCTAAGAAGCTGCATTTGCTCTGCTCAGAGGCATGAGGGATGGACCTAGACAACAGGGGGGTAATTGTGGGGGAGGGTGTGGGTGGAGGTAGAAGAAGGGATGAGGGGGATAAGTGATCATGAAAACAATACAATAAAAAAGAAAAAGAAATAAAACAAAAATGTGCTGTCTTGCCTTCTTCCAACGGCATTACATGTGAAATTGTGGACTGTGATGAAGACATTTATCTTCTTTATGTTTCCACTTTCTGGGTACCCCTCTGTATTTAAGCACCAGTACTTTAGATTTGAGAAAAAGCATGATGATAGATTAGGACTCTTGTATTTTCCTCACCATTTCTCTTTCCTTCTATAAGGAAAATCTCAGTGTCAGCCATGAAAACTTTACACTGGTTTAGATATATAGTTGACCCTTGAACAAAGCAAGGTTTAGAGGAGCCAACTTTCTACACAGTCAAAACTTGGAGTATAACTTTTGATTCACCAAAAATTTACCCACTGATAGCCTACTATTGACTGGAAGCCTAACTGATAACATAAATAGCCAATGAATGCATATTTTGTTTGTTACATGTTTTATATACTGTATTCTTAAAAATCGAGTAAGCTAAAGAAAAAGAAAATGTCATTAAAAATATCATAAGAAAAAAACACATTTACAGTATTTATTGAAATAAACCCACATATAAGTGGACACACATTGTTCAAATCTGTGATTCAAGGGTCAACTGTATATCTTGCCACAACTGAACACTTGTCATCTGTAGGATTACAAACATACTGTTCCATATTTTTCATTTTCTCCATAAATAGTGTTATTTCTTCTGTCCTTCAAAAATATTATTTGTGCATGGTTCTAGCACTCTTTTTATTATGACCATTTCCTTTAACTCTCAGCATTATAATGTTAAACAAACTAAGCACCACATTCTGGGAGAGACTGATTTTGTTGTATGCCATGGTTGTGTACGTAACCAGCATTTCCCTTCAGTTTGTGAGATCTGACTCTATCATGTGATTCTGAAATGTTGCTGCCTCGTCAAAAATACTTAAATATTATGTTTACTTTTACTCTTCTTTTCCTTTTTAGGCTCAGAAATCCTGGATAGAAAGAGCATTTTATAAAAGGGAATGCGTTCACATCATACCCAGCACGAAAGACCCCCATAGGTAATCTTGCTATCTTTATAATGTACTGAGAACTTGAAGTAGCAACTACTTAGTGATAGTGATCACTATTGCAGGGAACTACAATAGTAATCACTATCCATTATACGTAGACTAATGTGAAATTAAAGATCAACTTTTATTGTTGCTGGGCGTCTTTGAAGCAATCTTGTATATATTCCCCTCATAATATGCCATCTCTGCAGTTAATCTCTGAGTCTATTCAGAATAATAGATGTACCATCAGGGGAGGAATTAATCACTGTATCTGAGGATGCATTATAGTATATTTTTAGTATGGTTACTGGTTTTCCCTAGTAAGCATTTCACCAAAATGCTTCGTTTATACCAACTTGCTTTGCCATAGTAAAAGAGATTTCGAAATCATGACTCCTAGCAGATTATGAATTAGACTGCAGACCTCCAGATCCTTATCCAAGCACAATTTTAATATCTGATTTACCTTCTTGAAGATCAACAGACTATAAGGTGAGAAGTATTTGGAAAAAGTAACATATTAATGTCTGGAAAGACCTTTTTGATAAGGCAATGTGATTACGCAGTTTAAAATATAGACTATAGTCATGTACACTGTAACCTTGAGCAAATTACCTAACCTTTAAAACTACAATATCTTACACATAAAATGAATAGCACATTGTTAGCATTTAACAAATGGTAACTATGTATCAGAATTATTAGTAATAATCATAATAATGATGGCAGTAAATTCTGAAGGACATTTTCATGGTGCAAAGAGTGAATTTTGTTTTCAAGTATCTTGTGAATAATTTTTTTATTGTTTCTTCAAGAACACTCACTCTGCAGATTTTTTCCTCAAATTGGATATTTGACAGTGAATGTCAATTTGTAAAAGACAAGTTAGGTTATGACTCACATATGAGTGAGATTCGTCATTTAAATGTGCATGTTAAAATTCTTCCCTTGAAGCGGCTCAGTGTCCTTCCTGTAAGATTTGATAGACAGGAAGAGGAAGAAGTAGGAAATCCTACAGAGCTTTTGAGATTTCGTTCACGGATTCCAATCCTGAACAAGGGGGCAGGGATGAAAGGGGTGGGTAGAGGAGGACAGGAGACATGTCACCTCCAGCTAAGTGAAACTGAGGAGGGGGCTGGAAAGGAAAGGAATGTGTGTCAGCTAAACCCTGAGTTCACCATTTGCTTGATACAACCATCTCATAGGGTTCCACCTAAAAATTGACTAAGTAGATTGCTACCATCTGTAGATTTTTCCAGCCTTAAATGTGTATTCCAGTAGTGGCTAATACAATGAGTTCACTTTGACCTCTCATGTTACAGGTGTTGCTGTGGGCGTCTAATAGGCCAGCATGTCGGCCTCACTCCCAGTATCTCCGTTCTTCAGAATGAGAAAAACGAGAGTCGCCTCTCTCGAAATGACATTCAGTCCGAGAAGTGGTCCATCAGCAAGCACACACAGCTCAGCCCAACAGATGCTTTTGGAACCATTGAATTCCAAGGCGGTGGCCATTCCAACAAAGCCATGGTAATTACAAAAACATTTAGTCACTTCCCGAATTCTACCTCAAATCCTGGAAAGCAATGCTTAAGAGCTGGAAATTTAGTCTTTGGACCTAATCTCAACGTTGCCGTTTCCTGGCTGAATAACCTGCTGTAATTACCTTGCCCCCATGCGTCTCCGCTCTATCTCTATAAAATGAGGCCAATGAACCTTTCTCCAAGGGTTTTAAAAAGAATTAGTATGAGACTGGACACATGACTGCTGTTTTTATTAAAAATAAGTAACTTTCTATCCACTATTTATTATGATATTTTCTGGGTCTCATCTGTTAAGACATGTTTTGCTAACTCCTTTGGTAAAAATATTTTACCTTTAGGTCTCTCTTTTGCCCTATTGGTAACTAGCATATCTCTCAATTCAAGGTAGAAATGATCACACAGACTATTTTTTTCTCTGTTCTATCAAAGTAAGTGCTTTTTCTATGAGCAGCTTTGTTCAACAACATTCTCAATGGAAGAGCTCCATGTGAAAAGCATTTTTCTTTGGAAAGGAGGCTTTAGGGAATAAACACATGTTACTTCTAAGAACTGTCACTTCTAAATTCCACCTTTCATCACAGACCTCTCTGCCTACTTGGCTGTCACATTTTGCCAAGAGGAAACTATACCATGTGTTCTGGAAATTCTAGAAATGCTATGTTACAACAGGCTTGGTTCTTACTGTTAAAAGAGAGTTAGTTGAGGATGGAGGTGGCTGTTCTTAGACATGCCACAGAAGTTTCCAAGTTTGTAGAGAAAATTTTGCTTAGAGAAGCATCCTGCAAAATTCAAGAGAAGTCATTTTACACCAGTTACAATCTAAAAAGCATACAATAAAGCCACTTCTCTTTTTCTTCTCCCCTTCCCTTTTATACATCTGCCTCTCCTCCCCACTGCAATATTTTCTTCACCAAGATAGCTGACTAAGCTATTCTCACATTTTTCCCCTAAGAAAATTTATTCTGCCTCTGGCTGGTGTGGCTCAGTAGATTGAGTGCCAGCCTGCAAACCAAAGGGTCACTTGTTCGATTCCCAGTCAGGGCACATGCCTGGGTTGCATACCAGGTCCCCAGTGTGGGGCACACAAGAGGTAACTACACATTGATGTTCTCTCCCTCTCTTTTTCCTCCCTTCCCCTCTCTAAAAATAAATAAAAATAAAATATTTTTAGAAGTAAATTAATTTTGAACTACATATTAGATTAAAATAAATTTTGAGTAACATATTGGAAAGAAACCTAGAGACCAGAACCTCAAATGAGTTTGTTAGAATGTGTATCCTTCAAAGTATTCATCAAAATACTTTTCTAACTGCTTCCAGGACTCATAGGAAATAATAATGACAATCATAATAATATTAGCAACTTAAATTTATTAAACATCTACTGTGTGCCCAGCACTGTGTCAAGTACTTATGTATGATAGCTCATTTTATGTTTATGACACAATATTATTATTCCTATATGACAGAATAACATACCAAAACCCAGAAAAGTGATTTGCCTCATGTCACACAGCTAATATATTATATACGTATATTAAGATATTTAACTGTAGACAAAAAAATGAAAAGATGAACAGAGCTTTCACTCTGTTCCTGAAGAGTGGACACATGTGGACACAGAACTTTAACAGCCCTCCCCAGGCTCACATAGCTCTACAGAACCCAGAGCTGGCTGTTGGCAAACAGGTTAGGCAAGGTCAACTATAGGACTTGTGGAGCCCAGTGTAAAATGAAAACGTAGGCCCTCAACAGGGGCAGGGAAATCAATCCCCCTTCCCATGGTTGACAGCCCCAATCCACAAGGGATAGGCAACCCCCAAGAGATTGCCATCACCCCACTAGAACATGCTCAGTATCTGGTGCGAGTGAGACTTCCCATCAAGTAACCTATAAAACACACCACGGCACCATCAGCCTAAGGCAGGGACAGCCAGTTCCTTGCCCTGCCCTGGAATGCTGCAGGTCACATGCCCAACAGTGACCCTCTTCTTATCTGCACCCAGGTCCCAGCCAGAGATGTAGGTGGTGATGGAAACTCACCTTGTCCCTGTGCCATGCAGGAGGCTTGGGAGGGCAAGCAAGCCTGGTAGGAATGTCAGAAGCAGGAGCGGGTAGCTGAGATCCCACCCCAAGGAGGCAGCAGGAGGCTTTGTGACTATAGAGCATGTGTGAGCCCAGGTTCCAAGCCCTCTCAGCACATGCTTCATTGTCCCATCAGACTGCACATACAAAACACATATAAAAGACACAATTTCAAGGATAAAATTGTTAAGAATGTCAAGACAAATAAGTACAGAGCACTACGCCATATGCACTGCCCTTCTGAGTAATACGATTGCACTAAGTTTAGGTCTCACCTGCCTAGACAGTCTCAGGGTGGTCAATAGAGGGGAAACCTTTCTTTTTGAGTCAAATCAACCAAACAAGGGCCAGTTTTCCTTTTTATTACAATCAAATATTTAACATGTGGGAGTCCTGCTATTCACCGGACACAATGAGCATTAGTCCACTTTGAGTATCTGCCCTCCATATATTCTAATCCTCTTTTCTAGGCCAAGGAGTTGAGTTGGCCATAGGTCATAGGTCTTATTTTACCTGGAAGGGTGGTTGTTTTGCACCAGTCTTACGTCTTGTTCTGTCCCACAAACAAGAATGCATCTTAAACGAAGGGAACATCAGCACCGGCTGTGTTTCAAGAGCACCAGCCTTTAGATGAAAAGCCATGGTTAATTATTGGCCAAGATTTAAGTGAAGCAGGTCAACTAACTCACTTGTCTTTGGTCTCCTGCTCCTGATTTAAAAAAAATTGAAAGTTGAAATGCTTTTTAGCAATGTGATCAAAAAGTCTGGAGACCAGATTAACTTTGACCCTCATTAACTTTTTTTTTAAATAAGGTATAACATTAACTTCTCCTTTTAAGACAGAACAAAATGAAATGCCTGGGCCTCCAAAATGCCAAGGTGGTCTGGACAAAATGTGAGGCAGAATCTGCTAGAGTTTAGTAGAAGATACAGTTGGAGAAAAAGAGAATTGTTATTAAAATTGTTAAAACCATATCTGTTCAGGAACATTCTATACCCATGTTACCACACAGGCAGTACAGAATGATGTCACAGAACCCTGGACACCAAAGACACTGGAGGGATCAGATGCAACAGTCCTCAACTCGGTGGTTCAGGGTAACTGATGGGGCTGCCACAGGTGCCTCCCCCAGAGTTAGTCTCCTTCACTGGTGTGGGATAGAAACTGGCATCCCAGTTAGCCAGGTCATTCTACTATTCATCCAGGCTTAAAAAATTCTAAATAATCCCATTCACTCTTCCTTTTTAATAGATGAGGCCACCGGAGCCCAGTCAAGTTGAATTATCATCCAAGAGTCACCCAATTATTTCACAGAGACAGTTCTCAAATCCAGGCTCTGCAGGACCCCCGTCAGTTCTGTTTCTTCCCTGTCCTATGTGCTTGGTACACACTAGAGTTGTGTTTGAAAGGGAGCTAATTACCATGAAGTTTCTAGCTTTTCGAAGGATTTTGAAAACTTTGTGGTTAGAGGTATAAAATCTCTATTATCTGAAAAGCTCAATTAAACGCAGAACTGGTGAGCAGGACAAGTTGTTTGTAAAGCTGCATCCAGGTTGTTAATAGAACCATTTTCTGAGCCCTTCCTGTACTTTGTGGTATTCCCTCCTTCACTCCCAGGCTCGACAAACCCTAGTAAAATGGAAATGAAACCAGCTTCTCTCACACATTACAGAGAAATGGTGACGCAGGAAGGAGACATTCAAAGCTGACAGTGAATGAAAGATTCTCACTCTGTTTTTGTTTGTTTGTTTGTTTTTTTATTTATTTTTTTAAATTGATTATGCTGTTACAGTTGTTCTATTCCCCCCTTCATTCCCCTCCACCCTGCCCCCCCATCCCCACCATTACCCCCCTTTAGTTTATGTCCATGTGTCTCAAGTCCTTTAGGTTCTATATTTCCCATGCTATTCTTGCCCCCCCATCTATTTTCTATCTACTGTCTATGCTACTTATTTTCTGTACCTTCTCCCCCCATCTCCTCCTCCCACTCCCCTGTTGCTAACCCTCCTTGAGATCTTCATTTCTATGTTTCCACTCCTGATCTAGCTGTTCTTTTAGTTTGCTTTTATTCTCAGCTCCAAGTTATGTCTTACCAAATTGCCTGTCCCCAAGAAAGGCATCTCTGGGCTTCTGGGGCACCTGACAGTTTACTCAGATGCATCATGAAAGTTAGAACAAAGGAACTCCCCTGCTCCCACCCCACCCCCCAAAAAAGAAATACTAAGCTACTGAAACTATGATTTCAGCATTCCAGGTAATGTTTTAAAACTGCTTTAGAGGACAGCAGCAAGAAAGGCCAACCTCTGACATCGGGTCCTTTTCAAAGACTCTTCTTTTTCTGGGGCTAAGGCTATAGGTTATTTAGAAAAGAAAGCAGTGCTGCACTTGACAAGATAGAATCTTATTTGCTTACTAATCATCTCTTTTAATTAATGCTGAGCTGCCTTGTGGACAAGGTAAGCCATAACCTAATTACAGACTTGTATTTAAATCTTTCAAGTCCCACACATAATTCTCAAGTAATCCCTTGCTATTTTGCCCGTTAGATCAGGTGGAGCTTCTTATTACAGTTTTCATATAATTTAGACAACTATTTCTATGCCTTATTTTCATACTTAGTGCTCTAACTATTGAGTCTGCTGATCTGAAAGCCCCACTGAGCATTGCAGGTAGAGGGTGATAGGGAATAGGGAAGACAGGTGGGGCACCGGGGAGATAGGAGGTTGGGGGTGGGAGGGCTGTCAGTAGTATGTCATCTACAACCTGACACTCTTAAAATGCTTTGGGATTGAATCTGACTTTTAAAAATTTGTTACACTTTGCATTACACAAATTGGATCTAGGAATCATCATTAAATGGTGATGAATATCATTAAAAGGAATAGCACATCATAAAATGT